AACAATGGTGTGTCAGATGTTTAAAACCATGTGGCTGCTGGGAGCTGAACCCAGGTCCTCCAAAAGAAGAAGTGTTCTTAACTGAAAGCCAATCCTCCTCCTCCAGCCCAAAACTATTACATTTTTAATCAAATACTTTTATGCTACTTCTCTTACTACTTATGTACATTTTTTAAATTAAAAAGTTTACACTTTAACCTGTAAAAATCTGAAAGCCTGTTTCGTACGGAAAAGTAAAATAGCACAGTAAAACAGTCCAAATAACTCAGCTAAACAATTAAAAAGAAACAAAAATTCCATGAGTCAGATAAGCTATAAAACTACTACCAGAACAGAGAGCCAACTAGAGTCAGGAATGCTCTCTGTTCCATGGTTACAAATAGAAGCTGCTGTGAATTAATCCACTCCATGATGCTTCCTGCATCGCTTTTTATTTTACTCTCCAGTAAGAGTTTCTACCTATGGTCAACTATTACATTCTCAAAAAAATCTTTTTATTAATTTTTCGAGTTAGCACACAAGAATTCACACTGCATTTTCATATACATGTATCACTATATTTGAACTAATTCATCAAAGGGGTTTACGCTTTATTCACTTTTTTTCATGTACGTGTGTGTGCCTCATAACACTCACGTGAAAATCAGAGGACAACTCTCAGGATTTAATTCTTACAGGATCCAATAAGCCAGGAACCAATAAGTCAAGACAGAATTTCTCTCTGTAACAGCCCTAGCTGTCCTACATTCTCTTTGCAGACCAGGCTGCCTTTGACCTCACAGAGATCTACCTGCCTCTGCCTCCCAAGTGCAGGGATTAAAGGCGTGCACAATCATGCCAGGCATTCAATTTTTTAAAAACTAAGTATATAGTAGTCGGGGAGATATATTTTGTTCACTGGTTCCTAAATCAAGATGACTCATACCCAAAGCTGCATTCATATTCAAACTTGATGCAGATTATGGACATTGCATCTGAAATCATTAAAGAATAAGATATTGACATAATTTGAGTAAGAATGGTCTCCAGAGGCTCATATGCTTAAATACTCAGTCCCCAGGAACTGTTTGCAAAGGATTATGAGGTGTGGATTTGTCAAAAGAGTAGGGTCACAAGAAGCAGGCTTGAGGTTTCAAAAGACTTCTGCCAATCAAAGCGTTCTTCTGCTTTCAGATTCTGGACTGATTTCTACTAAGTTGCTTTGGTCATGGTGTTTTATCACAGCAATAAAAAAGTAAATGAAACAGAAATCTAAGCTGGTGTGTGTACATGTTGCAGAGACAGAAGCTGCCCAACAGAGGTGGAACTGTAATACAGTACCCACAAACAGACTATCCTATTCCTGTAGACATACACTACTCCTATCAAGACAGAAAATGTATCAACCTCCCTCAGACCTTCGCTGACAGACAGAGTTTGTTCTGAGAAGCAGAAATTGGTAGAAATGGCACTGTCTTTTCAGGAAGTAAGCACCATAACTAGAAGCATCTAAGTGAGTTCCATCTTGGATTCTCTTTAGGCAAGAGAATCTCAAAGAGAACCACTTAAGGTGTACTAGGACAAGATGCTCCCTGCTCCAAATTTTAATGGCAAAGTATGACTAATATAACATATAAATTATTTAATTTGTTTATTATTATTGAGCACTGTGTCTGCACTTATGCCTGTATGACAGAAGAGAGCATCAGACAGAAGAGGGCATCAGATCCCATTATAGATGGTTGTCAGCCACAACGTGGTTGCTGGGAAGTGAACTCAAGACCTCGGGAAGAGCAACCAGTGCTCTTAACCACTGAGCATACTCTCTAAGCCCCAAAAGTTGTGATTTTAACCCACTCAATTCTGAAATAATTCATTGCTCAGTGATCACTAATTGACACAACACAATAAATAGAAACAACTGCTTACTGGGTTCTTCTAGAAATAATATGAGGGATCCTAACAGGATGTGGGAGGAGTTCACTGAACACTAAGAGGAAATGTTATGAATGGAAATTGTATTTGTTGGTCTCAAATTCCTATTTTCCTAAATTTCCTACAGTTTACATACTTTACTTTCAAAGTAACAACTAATGTTGATTTTTAAAACCCTCCATTAGAGTGTTACCAATTTATTGGCTAAATTATAATCAATTAATCCTCATGATAAAATATATAAAAATTTCAGCAAAGTACAAAAGAAAATGTTTTAATAATTGGGAATTCTTGTTATGCCATAAAACAAGAAAAAAGCATGTTTTTTCAATAATTTTTTGAATAATTAGAACCTAATAAAATACAACTGGCTGGGCATACAACCCCAGGATTCCAGGAGGCTGAGGCAGGAGGATCCCAAATCCAGCCATGGCTACAAAGTACATTCCAGGCCAATGTGGTACATATAGTAGACCCTATATCAAACAAACAAAACAGAAACTAAAATTACAATTTAGCACTGCACAGCTTTATGCAAGTATCTTCAGATTTATATAATTCTTCATGGTTAGTGTGAAGAGATGTGGATGATAAAAGGCAATAAAACTTTGACTACAAGAGGAAAAAAAAAAAAAAAAACTACAGTAATGGACTAAAATCAACCAGAACAAATTACACAATAATCGAGAAATCATTCATATTTGAGCTAAAATACCAACCATACAAAATTCAAGCTAGGATGTTGACATCAGTACTATAATCTCAGCAACTGGAGATTAAAGCAGAAGGACTTCCCTAAATTCATGGCTGGCATATACAACACAACAGGACCCTGTATCAGAAAAATAAAACACAAGAGCTGCAGAGATGACTCAGCAGTTAATAGCATTGACTTTATTTCCAGAAGACCTAGGTCTGGTTAAGAGAACCCATATGAGCTGGGCGTGGTAGCCCATGACTTTGATCCTAGCACTAGGGGGAGGCACAGGCCGGGAGATCTTTGTGAGTTTGAGGCCACCCTGATCTACCAATCAAGTCGAGGACAGCCAAGGCTACACAGAAAAATCCTATCTCTAAAAACCAAACCAAACAAACAAAAAGAGCACCCACATGGTGGCTTCACAACTGTCAGTAACTCCAGTACCAATTGTATGCCCTCTTCCGGCCTCTCAGGAAACAGGTACACACACACAAGTACTTTACAGATAACACATGCAGGCAAACATACACACCCAAAACAAAATAATAAAGAAGTCGGTTGGTTTGGGGGTTTTGTTTGTTTTTGGGGACAGGGTTTCCCTGCATAGCCTTGGAAGTCCTGGACTCGCTCTGTAAACCAGGCTGGCCTCAAACTCACAGAGCTCAGCCTGACTCTGGCTTCCAGAGTCAGGGATTACAGGCATACAACACTAAGCCTGGCTAATGAAGTTTTTAGGTTCTAAAAAAAATTAATAAATAAAACACCACCACAACAATAAACTAACATACAAAATTGTAAGAAAAAAAAAATCATCACAAAAGCATGAAAAGCCTTAGTCTTTAGCTAGTTATAAGTATTCTAGCCAAAAATCAATAACCCTGGGGCTGCAGAGATGGCTCAGAGGTTAAGAGCACTAGCTGCTTTTCCAAAGGTCCTGAATTCAATTCCCAGCAACCACATAATGGCTCACAACCATCTATACTGAGATCTGGTGCCATCTTCTGCAGTGCAAGTGTACATGCAGACACAACATTGTACACATAATAAATAAATCGTTTCAAAATTTTATATTTTTATTTAATTTTATTTATTACAATTTATTCACTTTGTATCTCCACTGCAGGCCCCTCCCCTTATCTCCTTCCAGTCCCATCCACAATCCCTTTTCTCCCCCTATGCCCTTTCCCTAGTCCCCTGATAGGGGAGGTCCTCCCCCCCTTCTATCTGACCCCAGCCTATCAGGTCTCATCAAGACTGGCTGCATCATCTTCCTCTGTGGCCTGAGAAGGCTGTACCCCTCCCCCAAATCTTTAGATAGATAGATAGATAGATAGATAGATAGATAGATAGATAGATAGATAGATAGATAACCCATGCTGCATTAAAATATTAATTATTAATAAATTTAAATGATAAACATAACTTTACTATAAGAACATAGTAAAAAAAAATACAAGAATAAGCTCCATGTATTTAGAACTACTGAAACTGTGTGAAATATAAGTATATATTAAGAAATGACTGGAGAGATGGCTCAGAAGTTAAGAGCATTGTTTGTTCTTTCCAAAGGACCATGTGGGTTCAATTCCCAGCATCCACATGGCGGCTCACAACTGTCTAATAACTCCCATTCCAGAAGACCCAACACTTTCACATATACATGCAGGCAAAACATCAATGTGCATAAAATAAAAATAAGTTTTTTTAAAAGAAATGACATAAAAAAAGTGAAAATGATCTACCAAGGAGACGAATCTTAGAGACAGTTTGTCTTTCATTCAATTATTACGTGTTGGGCAAAAGAGCAGACACTAAAATATATGGTAGAGAACAAAGCAGATCCTGCCCTTTTCTCTATTTCTTATCCTGGGGAAACCTTACCATAGAAAGACCATTGGCAGGAACAGTAACAACATCGTCACCATCATCAACATCATCATCGTCATCTGTTAAATCTAAGTCTCATGGATCTTTACAAATTTCTGAAAAGACTAAGTTCCAAAGATACTTCCAAATTTAAAGTTTTAAAATTATAGCACTGTACCACCAAAGAAGATAATGACTACCCTAAAATGTCAAAGTGTTTTTTTGGCTATCATACCAAGCACACCAAGATACATCAACCCAAACACACACATAGGTTGTTGTCTTAAATTCCACCTTTACAAACCAATCAGGTCAATTTATATGCTCAACCTTAATAGACAACTAGTTAAAATCCAACTTTAATCTTCAAAAAGATACTGCAATCTCCAATTTTTATTTCGTTTTAAAGAAGACATTTTTAATCTCCTTGCTTTGTCAAGTTATCTTGTCCTAGACTAAAATTATTCCAATGAAATTAGTATCTATGACTTCTCAGAGATTTCTTATATTATCAGTATACCTTTCCATGGCTTTAGCTGTATAAGGCAAATGCATTTCAATACTGTGTTCATCTTCATCTGTCTGCAGAGACATGCGTTCAAACATTCCTGTCTTCCATAGCTCTCCGTATACTAAAGAGATTTCAAAATATATTAAGACAAATATTAATGCATACATTTGTTAAAAAACTTCCACCCAGCAACAGAAAACTGTAAGCTATCGCAAGAAACAAAAGCACCACATACTCCATTTTTTTATTAAACGTGAAAGACAGAAAGACTAATTTAATTACATAAAATAGCACATGTAAAGACTTACCATTTGGATAGTAACATTGTGCATTTTTCATCAGTTCTTTTAATATTTCTAAAATAAACTCTAGGGCTAGGCCAATTGTTCTAACCAAAACAACTCATTAGAATTCCCACTATAACAGAAGGGAAAAACAAAACACCACTCTATTTACATATAAGGTTAATAACAGGTTTTTTAAGTTTTGCTTTGTTTTTATAATAAGGTATATAGTTTTATTATTTTACCTCATGATTCTACTATACCAACAACATAAAATTTTCACTTCCAATACTATTTTTCCTAAAATTCAAACTTTAACTTACAGCAGAAATCATAAATCCACCAGAGTATTAATACCAACTTAAAATGATCTAGCCATCCTGATATTTCTGATGAGCTACACTTAAAACTAATTTAGAACAAGACATGAAATTTAGTATCTAAAAACACAACAGAAAAATAATTTAGAGCCAGATCTAGTGGCACACACTAATAACCACAGCTACTCAGAAGGCTAAAGCATGAGGATCACAAAATCAAGTCCAGCCTGGGCTACAAAGAAGGATCAAGATCTAGTTGAGTTCTCTTAGCAAAATCCTTTCTCAAAAAGAAAAAAAAAAAAAAAAAAGAAAGAAAAAAAGAAGAAAGGGAGGAATGGGAAGGAAGAGAGAAAGACAAAGGAGAAAGAAATGGTAGTTAAGGCCTCATCTCTACAAAATAACTTTTAAAAAAAATTAGTCATTTCTTTGCTTGTACCAAACAAGGCTCTTAAAAATGGGGGAGTTAACAATCATCTATAGCTGTAGTTTCAGGAGATCTAAAGCCTTCTTCTGACCTCCTCAGGTACTAGGCAGGCACATGACACACAGACATGTATGTGAGCAAAACATTCATACCCATAAGATAAACAAATACATAAAAAAGAAAAATGTGCCCCTTAAATCATTTCAGTCGGAAAGGTAATATTCTATTTGTATTAGTAAGATCTATTCAAATAACAAATTGCTACTACTCTATGAAACAACTTCAATTTGTAGAACTCGAAGTCTAAAATAAGGCTTAAAAGAGCTGGTTATTTCTTTTACAGGTGAAACCTTTCATTCAATGTAAAAAATTACTGCAAATTTTAATGGAATAATAGCATCCCTTATATACCAAAAATATAATTTAATGAGCTAAAGGATTCACTCTCAATACTTCATGAAGGTGCTAATTATGCAGAAAGAGACAAGAGAAGGGAAAATTCAGAGTAAACTGCGGATAATGAGCATGCCGTCTACTGTTTTGTATTTTTTTATATTACATTTACTGTGTAAGAAATAGATAAACAAAAATATGACATCTAGAAGCTGGGAAGACGACTTCCTCAGCAGATAAAATGCTTCTCCAGAAAGCATGAGAAGCTGAGCCATGTTCCCAGAACTCACACAAAAATGTATGACATGGTGGCACATGCTATGACCCCATGAGGAATTAAAGATAAGCAGATCCCTGGGGCTCCTTGGCCAGCCAGGCTAGCATTCTGGGTGAGTTCTAGGCAAGTGAGAGATATGGTCTCAAAAGAAAAGGTAGACAGCACAAAAAAAAGAACACACAGCACACACACAATGTACGCTCAATCACAGAAGAACACACACACCACACAATACACACACACACAAAAAATTAACTTCTGGTAACCTTAGGAGAAAACTCAAAATAACAGACATGGGAGATGGACAGATGTCTTATCAGGTAAAATGTACCATACAAGCTTAAGGACTAGTGTTTGGACCTGAGAATCCGTGTAAAAAGCTGCAAAGGCCCCCAGGAGTCTATGGGCTCACCCTGAGATTTCTAGCAGTAGAAGATATGGAGCCTGAAGTGGTCACCTCCTATAGCCAGGTGGGACTTCCAGTGGAAGGAGAGGGTTGCCAACCCACTTATAAAACCTTCGACCTAAGCTTTGTCCTGCCTATAGGAAATATAGGGATGAAGATGTAGCAGAGACCGGGGGAATGGCAAACCAATGACTGGCCCAACTTGAGACCCACCCCATGGGAGAGTTCTCTGTCACTATTAAATGATACTCTGTCATGCTTGCAAAAAAGAGCCTAGCATAACTGTCTTCTGAGAGGCCCCACCCAGCAGCTAATGAAAATTGATGCAGAAACCCACAGCCAAACAATAGGCTGAGTATTGTGGAAGACTAGGAAGAAGAAAGAAGGAATCCAGAGGGGTTAAGAACACCACAAAGGACCTATAGAATAAACTAACCGGGGCCCATGGGGCTCACAGAGACTGAAGCACCAACCAAAGAGCATGCATGGACTGGACCTAGACCCCTACACATATGTAGCAGATGTGCAGCACGGTCAACAGGTGGGTCCCCTAACAATGACAGTAAGGGTTATCTCTGACTCAGTTGTCTGCCTTTGGATCCCTTCCCCCTAGCTGGGCTGCCTTGTCTGGCCTCAGTTCAAGAGGATATGCTTAGTCCTGCTGTGTCTTGAGATGCCAGGGTGGGTTGGTACCCCTTAGGGGTCCTCATTCTCTGAGAAGAAGGAGAGGGGAGAATGGAGCAGCATGAGGGTGGAACTGGGAGGAGATGGGAAAAGGCTGGGATTAGGCTGTAGAGTGATTAAATAAAAAATTTAAAAATTAAAAAAAAACTTAATACAGGCAAAAAAAAAAAAAAAAAAAAAAAAAGCTGGACAGGTATGGCAAGCCCATCTGTAAATCAAGTGCACAAGAGTCCTTCATATACACATACACACACACACACACACACACACACACACACACACACACACACACATCAAGTGACATGAGACAAAACAGTGAGTTTTGAGTATAGCCAGAGACACTGCCTCAATGATATATCAGGCGTGGAATTATCAAGGAAGACACCAACATTAGCCTCAGGCCTCCACACAGCATGCATGCACTTTTACATACACATATATGCCCAAAAACATGCACGCACACAAGCATGCATACATATATACACGCAAAACTAAATAAAAAAACACGCTTAAATTTTCTATACTACCTTTCAGAACCTCAAAAAATATAGAATAATGTTTCCCATTTGAAAAAAAAAAAAAAAAAAAACAATGAGAGGAAATGAAAGTATTATTGCCATCACTTAAAGTGAAATATATGAAAAGTGATATACATAAAAATAAAGTTAACTTGCCAAGTCTTTCATCAGGTTGGCATATATACTAATTTCTTGCTTCATGGCTTAATAACACAAGCAAAGTATTTCTCTAAATATAAATGTGGCCACTGTGGTATGGAGCTAAGTGCCTTTAACAGATTTTTGTAGTTATAAGGAAAATACCACATTGGGGGGGTCCAGTTTATACAGATTAGTTACAACAACAACAAAAAAATTTAGTTAAAATATCATTTATGGTATCTGTGTCTTTTTAAAATTTTTAAATTAAAATTACAATCCTTATTAAATGGTCTTTAGCTATTTAAAAGCTGTATGATTTCTATATACTTACTCTTTTGGTCAATACGAAGGTCATACAGAGGAGTCCTATATATATCCACACTGGAGAGTGCACATCGAGACAGGGGCACATGATGGGAAGGCCCAAGGATGAAAATTCTCCGGCTGGGAGATACACAACAGAAACACAGAACAAATGTACTTCTACACAAATCTTATTAAATAAAAGGAAAAGTAACTTTAAATTTTACTTGTTTTTCCGTGCTGACTACCTACTTTTATTACATTCTGTGAACATAAAAGCTGAACTATGTTCTTATCAAAATTCATATACTGAAGTTCCAACTTCCCATATCTGATTGCAGGCCAATTAGGAGGTAAATTTTTCAAGAGCTAATAGAGTTAAAACGAGGCCCTTATCAATGTGACTGATGTACTTATATAAAAAGGCTTCAAAGTCAGGAGTGGTATCCCATATAATCCCAGAATTTGGGACCCCTGAGGCAAGGACTGACGCCAACCTGGGTTCCACAGTGAATTCTAGCCAGCCAGGATTATGTAACATGATCCTGGGAGGGGTGAAGTGCAGGGGTGGATAACACATGGGACACAACCACAACACATGATTCCAAGGACACCCCTAACAGTCATGCAGTTAAGAGAGGCCTAGCAGCCAAAGAGGAGCTTCAAAGAAACCAACCCTATCAGGCCATAATACTGGATTTCTAGTTTTCCAGAACTGTGAGGAAATGAGACTTCTGTGAACCAAAGCCACAGTCCTTGGAATTTCATTACAGTAGAACTGAATTTGCTCCTCAGTTTTAATCTAAATTTATGTCCAATAAATGAAAATACCAGCTATAAATTTTTACAATAACCATGCTATATATAACTCATTTCTAGATGTATAACTAGACAAGTTTCAAAACTAAGTAGTTTAAATATTTCAGCTATGAGAATTTAAATTTTTAACATAAATTAATACTGTTAAAAACCTTGAGTATCTATGCAAAACAGCATTACAAAGAAGCATTCAATGAAAGTATTTTGGCATTATTTCTATGGTAGCAAAGAAACAGGACATCTTGTTGAAAAAAATTCTATGATATCAACTTTATTCACTTTAATACAAGTCATTCTCAAATACAAAGAAACTTTATAATGTATTTATAATGCGCAGTAGTCTATCTAAAGAAAAAACTGGGCTAAACACTAGCTACAATCTTCACAACCTGTCTCAACACCCAAAATACAATCAGCTTACTATTATTTACTATCAAACATCCAAACTTGACCTACAACCTAAATGCTGAAACTATGAACTTTTTGTTTTCTAAAATTCAAATAAAACAATCTTATCATACTATACACAAATATAAATAAGTTAAAGATTAAAAAAAAAAAAAAGCAAAACTGTGAGAAAGAAGGAAACAGGTTATGGGGCTTATGTACCTAGAAACCATGACCTAGTTCTTTCACTGTCAAGAGATTTTCAGGACCAGGAGAGTGTGCTTAGCTACATACTCTGACAAATGCTATTACTGTTCCAAATGTGACGGCGTTCGCCTATACCTAAGACTTAGGGTGAGCCAGAAAGATGTAGGATGATTCAGAATTCAAAGCCATCTTGGTCTACAAAAATCAGAACCTATCTTTAAAAAAAAAAAAAGTCAGGTGTAGTGAAACAATCTTTAATCCTCACACACAGGAGGCAAAGCAAAAGCAGGCCTGATCTGCACAGCAAGACTATGTCCGTGAGTGAGTGAGTGAGTGAGTGAGTGAGTGAGTGAGTGAGTGAGTGAGTGAACCAAACAAAATCCATTACTAAGCTAAGAAAATTAATCTACTTTTTTAAAGACATGTCACTTCAAAATTGGAAAGGAATGAGGGAGATAAGGAAGTTTTGGATTAAGTAATTCTTTGAGTCCTCAAATTGGAAAAAAAAATCTCACCGGAAACTATTTTATCCTTAAGCCAATGTGTGTCAGAAATAATCTTTTTTATTCTCTCTTCTCCATCTTTTAAGACTTAAATAGTATTTTATGTATTTCAGTGTTATGTCTACATGTATACCTGCACACCAGAAGAGGGCACAGGACTCCATCATAGATGGTTGTGAGATATCAGTGGGTACTAGGGATTGAACTCAGGACCTCTGGAAGAGTGCCACTTAGTACCTCTTAGTACCACTAAGCCATCTTTCCAGCCCCTCTTTCTCAATCTTTTTAGCACTACAATCCACATTTGTTTCATAACATTTACCATCAGTATCATGGAGAGGGTCAGATTCATAGATTATAAAATGAACAAAACCAAGAGATACTATTTTGTTCTGTAATAGCAGTCCACAAATATTAATGAATTCTTTTATTAATATCTAATGTGAAATATGTATAAAATGGTAACGTAGATATGTTTAGGTCACTTGATTAATGCCAGGATTAATGCCACAGTGCTCTGTGTCTATAGTCTACATAACAGAAGGCTAAAGCAGGGAGATCAGTTGAGCACAGGAGCATAAGGCTAGCCAAAGCAACATAATGAGACCCTATTTACAAAAGAAAAAAGAAGAGGAAGAGAAGATAGAGAAAGAAGGGAGAGAAAAAAAACTTTTAATGGTGTGGAGGTTGGGGAGTGTTTCTGGTTGAGAAATCAGTTTCTATAAGAAAAAGTATCTAATATTTAGCATCAGAATGCTTTTGGAAAAAAAATCTAAGGTATATAGCTTAAAGTGATATTTTAAAAGTCAGTCTCTTCTCCTGCCAGGTGTGATGGCACACACCTTTAATCCCAGCACTCAAGAGGCAGAGGCAAGCAGATCTCTGTGAGTTCCAGGACAGACAGGGCTACACAAAAGACTCTGTCTCAGATGACAACAAGTCAATCTGAAGACTTGTACACAATGAGCACTGCTACAGAAAGGAACCAACGATAGTCCTCTGGGAGCCGAAGGCCTTCCGCTGACAGCTGACTACTGTCTTAGCTTTCCTTTTTGTCAAACCCAACCTATATAAAACACTCCCTACAATCTGAACTAGCCAGATTTTTCCCAATGAATTCTTTTTAGTTTGGTAAAAACATATAACCAATCTAGCACAGTTGCAGAACTAATTTACAAAAACAAGAAATAAGAAAAAACGTTGCCATCAATTTAAAATTCTTTAAAATAACATAGAGAAACCACAAAAGGTTAGATGCTATTGAAAAGGGGCATATTAAGATAATAATGACCTCAAAATAGGTCTCTATTAGCTCAAGTCCTAACAAAGAAAGATAAACAAAGAACACTGAAGTTCATGTATTTCTTCCTCCCTTCTTTGCTAGACCCATAACAGCACAGCCACTGCAATAATTGGAAGAAAAATAAGTAAGCAAGGCTATGTTCATTTCCTTTAAAAAAAAAAAACAAAAAAACTGCAAGGTGTTTTGCCTTTAAAGAAATAACCTTGGCATTGTATTCTGGCTGTTACTAGATAGGTAAAAGAAACCTTCAATATGAAGTAATAGAGAGATGGTAATGAGTCATATTTTCCTAGACATAAATATAGTCCACACACTGCGGCTCCTGAGAACTCACCTTTGTGAAATTATTATAATGAATATGGTCTATGAGCACTTGTCATTTTTTCAACTACCTATTCCAACTATGGAACATAAGTAATTTTCTATAGGTGTTTCAAAGGGAGAGAAAATATTTTAATTAAAGACTAAAAACATCATGGGCTCCAATTTCTTTTGTCCTACGAAGCTTTTTGAAAAATATAAATTAAATTCAAGCTTCTGCCTAATTGCCTTTTCAATTTCACATATTAGTTTTGTTAGCATCCAGGAAAGACTTTACAACTGTCAATGTGAAAAGGAACCTAATGAAAGGCCCCATTTTTAAGTTCTTTAACAGCCCAAAATGATCTTTTGAAACACAAATTTTATTATTTCACTGTTTTTTGCCCTTACTTTAAAAAGTCCTTCCTGAACCAAGGTAGTGACACAGGCCTTTAATCTCAGCTCCCAGAAGGCAGAGGCAGGCAGATCTCTGCCATTTCAAGGCTTCCCTGGTCTACAAAGCAAGTTCCAGGACAGCTAAGGCTACCCAGAAATACCCAGTCTTGAAAAGCAAAAAACAAACAAAAAAGTCCTTCCTGGCTTTTAATGGATATAAAAGCAAGTAAAACCCTTAAAAATAAGTAGAATTTTGTGGGTTGTTTTTCCCCACTGTAAGTATATGACGTGGATGCACAGATGCAATATACAGGTATTTGCAGAAGCCAGTTTGACATCAGGTGTCTTCCACAGCAGCTCTCCACTTTATTTTTTGTGACAAGGTCTCTAGTTGAAACTAGAGCTCACTCTTCCAGCTAGACTATCTAACCAGCTGGCCCAAAGATCTTCCTTTCCCAGGACCATCTGCTCTCCCAACTGCCTGGCACCAAGAGTTTCAGGGGCACAACCAGCATGCTAAGATTTTACATGAGTGCTGGGATCAGAACTTAAGTTGTCATACCTGTGCAGCAATCACTACCCACTGAGCCATACCAAGTCCCTAAAATGGATTTTAAAGTGTCAAATGAACTATCAACTTTCTCTACTCCTTTTGCTGCCCCTTGACTGTTAACATTCTGTGAATACACTAGTCTTATAGTCCTTGATGAACTAACAAGTTTAACTATACATGTTGTCATCCCCTCTGATAGGCTGCTTTACCTTAAACACCAATTCCCGTGCTTGAAGTCAAATCACCCTTTTAAGGTCTATCATATCAGATGTCATAGGGTGATCTACGTGTTCTTAACACTTAAGACCCTATAAAGGAGTATACAAAGTACAAACTAGCTCCAAAATAGTGGGAAAAAAAAAAAAAAAAAACTGCTTTCTTAGCTCCTGATTTGCACTTAAACTGCAGAAATGAGGGAAAGTAAATGTTAGCACAAGCTTCACTGCTGTGAAACCAACATGTGTCCGTAGTCCATTCACTGCTACAGCTTTTTAAAAATCAATTTCACCAAAATTCTTGACCCTAAGAATACAGCTGAACAATGCATGACAAAATATATTCAAACCACAGAGACAGATTCATAAAGCATTTCTGCAGATGAACATCGTATCTCATTAAAAAAAAAATCACTTGATTATGAGCTGAGGGTTGAACTAAACACATTTTTTTTTCATGGAATACAACTTTTACTTCAAAAACAATAACTATACAAATAGTAGGTATTTGGCAGAAATACCCAAATACCCAAAATAAACAAAGTAAGTCTGCAAAACAATTGACATATTTGTTGTACAGAATAAAATTGAAGCTTTCTAGTGAAAATTAAATCAGATATGTTTCAGATGATAGTATGAACAAACCTAACGTTCTAAATTGTACAACAAACCATCACCTGAAAGATCTATGCTGACTCTCAAGAAACTATTTTTATTAAGTTCTATTTTGGTATTAAAGAGGAACATTGCCTGTTTAACAGAAAAAATATAGACTGCTTCTCCCTTTTGAACTACATTCCTGTGTGAAAATGGGTTTCCTTCTTATATTTATGCCCCAAAAACAGATCATAATAAACTGAACGCAGAAGCAGACATGAACACAAAGGTATCTTCTAGACTTCGGATTAATGTATAATTTATCCGAAGTCTGGCATGGTACATACACTATAACCCCAGCACTTCAGAAGCTGAGGCAGAAAGACTGCTGTAACTGAGTGCCAGTCTAGGTTACAAAGCCAGTCTCTTGTTCCAAAAACAAATAAGAAATAATAAAAATGTATAGGATATTTATAGATATATAACATTAATATTTATATATTATAATATATAAATAATATAAAACTATATATATGGTGTTTTTTTTGTTTGTTTGTTTGTTTTTGGTTTTTTTTTTTTTTTTGTTTTTTAGACAGGGTGTCTCTATGTAGTCCTGGGTGTCCTGGAGTTCACTATATAGACCAGGATGGCCTGGAACTCAAAGATATGTTCTTGTCTCTGCCTCTGTCTTCCTTTAATCCTAGTACTAGAATTAAAGGTATGTACCACCAAACCCGGCTATATTTTGTAAAAGAAATGTAAAAGCAATATCTCTTTTCCCATTCTTTCATTATTATATGAGGAAATATGACGAACATTATTATATGTTTCTTATTTAATGTTTCATTAAGTTTATGGTATTTGGGAACTAAGGATATACTTCTGTAGTTGAGGGCTTTCTTTGCATGTCTAAGATCCTGGATTTGACCAGCATCATCATACAAAAAAAGTCACTTTTGTTCTTATTATTTTGATAGTTTTAATTTTTGTTCTAATTCTTTTTAACTTTTAAAAAAATATTTATGTGTTTAGTGTTTTGCCTGCATATATGTATGCTTACCATCAGCATGCCTGGTAATACTGGAGGTCAGAAGAGGGCATCAAATTCCCTGGGACTGGAGTTATAGACAGTTGTGAGCTATCATATGGGTGCTAGGAATTGACACCAGGTCTTCGGGAAAAGTAGCTAGTAGTAGCTGCCATCTTTTCCAGCCCATACAATTATTTCTGCCCTTGGAAATTTATTTTTCACCCTGAAGATGATTTCACAATTCTATTTTAAATTAAGTATCATAATTGTAAAAAGTTTATTTTTAACTCTACCTCAATAAGCCGGGCATGGCAGCACGCACGCACGGTTAGTCCCAGCACTCAGGGAAGCAGAGACAAGCAGATCTCTGGGATCAAAACAAAAAATTAACTCTAGTTCATTAAGACCTTTTTTAATTAATTTTTTTTCCATTAAGTAGTATATATTTTGTTTGTTTGTTTTTTAGTTTTAGTTTTTTGGGACAGGGTTTCTCTGTGTGTAACCCTGGCTGTCCTGGAATCACTCTGTAGACGAGGCTGGCCTTGAACTCAGATATCCGCCTGCTTCTACCTTCCATGTGCTGGGATTAAAGGTGTGCGCCACCACCGCCAGGCTCATGTAATATATTCTAATCATATTCTTTCTTCTCCCTAATCTGCCAAGATCCTCCTCACTTCCTTACCCACATAATTTTATGTGCTTACTCTTTAAAAAAAAAAAAAAAAAATTAAGAAAGAAACAAAAACAAAAAATAGGCAAAAGACCAGTAAGAAAAAATGTCCCGTCCATTATTTTTATCTTATAAATTCTTTAAGAACTTTATCCATTTTGATTATATTCACAGCCCCACTGCTCCCAATTTGTCCAATATATATATATATAAAACCTACACAGACACACACTATCCTGGGAAACGAGATGGTTGCCATGAGCAGTTAATGGTTTCTTGGGGAGAGGGAGTCATCTTCAGTGCTATGACCACTGTTGAGCTACCACACTCCAATGAGCGAACCACACTCATGCTTATGCAAGCCCCAGTTAAACTAAATGAGTTAACAAAAAGAAGGGCTTGGTGGGAGAGGTAAAAGGGCATAATGGGGAGTGAATGTACTCAAAAGACTTTATATACATGTATAAAATTATCAAAGAGTAAAAATTTAGATGAAAATATATCTGTAAATGACTTGTTTCTAAAAGTATTTTATAAAAAAAATTACTTTATATAGTACATACTTCTCAATTTTACACAAACTTATATCGTCCTTTTAGTCTACGATGTGATATTTTCAAAAATCACCATAATGCCTCTTAGTATATTTCATAATTTTAGTAACAGGATCTCACAATGTAACTCCTGCTGTCCCCAAAGTTTTTATCTCCTAACTTAGCCTCCTCACTGCTGGGATTGCAGGTTTGCAACACCATGCCTGGAAATATTTACTTTCAATATCTATAAAATATTACATTAATTAAGCTATCATATTTATTTGATTCATTATTCCATTTTGGATATTAAAACATAATGCTACTGTTGCAGTCTTACTGCACTCAAACTTCTGCACTTCACGACTCACTAAGATACACACAAACCACTTGTCACCTCTTCGCACTGAGTGTATAACTTCCTCCTCCTGGTTGTCCTTGACTCTTGGTTTTTCCTCACCCTTTCCTTTCTCCTCTCACTCTGACATTCCAACAGTTTGCCGTAGTCCCATTTTGTACTTCCCAGCACGGACTCTATGCTTATTTACATATCCCCAACTACTTCTGAGGCATACCTCTAGCATATAATATGATTAATAAAAATACTACCAATGAGAGAAAAGTTTAAAACAAAGTGTTATTTAAAATAGCCTTGATTATGGCTGAATTTTAGACTAAGGTCAAATAAAAATCTTCTAAAATCTTTTTAATTTCTCTTTACTGCTATAAACTTTCACTTTTAGTAATGACAAAAATGATTAAAAAGAGCAAAGAAATCTTCCTTTTTTTTTCTTTAAAATGTTCACATACAAGTTTTTCAATGTAAACTAAAATCAAATATTTAACTTTGTAGTAGTTTCAGAATAAAACATTTGACAACTAAAGACAAGGTAAAACAGTAAATACTCAAAGAAAAAGTATTAAAGAATTTCCTAATCTATACAAGGTGTGACAGAATTCCTGAAAAGTGTAAGCTCTGCTAAACTGAATACACAAGAAGAATGAAACATTACTTCTATGACGAAGCAACAGTTACAATATCCCTAAACCGTTCCTAATTAACTGTATTACTTACGTAATAGATGGGTCCACTTGTTTGTAAGCATGGGCAGCACAAGACCCACAGTACGTGTATCCTGCATGGCTACAAACAAAACAGTATGTAATTTAATCTCCACGTTCAAAATCAAGATAGTCTAAAAGAAAATAAAACTTTTAGAAAGAAATAGGACAACCATGATACAGAGATTTGAATAGACAGACTAAAAAGCAATGTAATCAATGATGCAACACCTAGAAGGTGATAGAGAACATGTAAGTGTTCCATACTATATTCCAATTATAAACTTTCGTACTATTTTAAAGGTTGGTTATATAGCTCAGTGGCAGCTTCCCATGTTTAAAGTCTTGGGTTTAATTGCCAGCACCAATTAGGGCAGGAAGGGGTGGCAAGAGCTAGTTTGGTTTTGAATGGGAAAGAAGAACATTTAGAGATATTCAAGGCTTAAGTTACTAATTTCTGCTACTACTCTGCAGTGAAATTAGCAGTCTGTTATATAACAGTACCGGACCAAGTATCCTGCAGTGATCGTGCTCCTTTCCGCTTTTGCGGTAAAGAACTTGGCTTGGCTTCTGGGTATTATACCTCTCATTTTCTTTCCATTATTTTTCTCCTTTCACTGTCTGGCTTCAGTATTCAGTAAATTCGCTTATCACCTACAGAACAGCTTTGTTCTCTGATCATTTTTCTTTTGGACTCATCCCTGCTACGAGTCTTGACTCACTTTTTTAAACTATGGTACATAGTCTATGAATACTATGGTGGACAGTACACAGCCCATGGTGGTAAATGTTTTAACAACTGACTCTAAAGGAAATGAAAAATATGCACATTCATATGTACATAAGCCTTTATACAATGTTAAAGTATCACAATTTATGAATAATGATAAAAATACATAATACTCTTATTATAAATTGCATATAGCCTATTGATTTTAAGTTCTATGATACTATTTGCTGTAAACAAGCTACAACTGCAATAGTAAAGAACTGGGCATGATGGCACATGCCATGAATTCCAAGCATTACAGAGGCAAGTAGATCTCACAGTTTAAGGTCAATCTGGTTATAGTGAATTCCAAGCTATCCAGGGCTACACAGTGGGATCCTGTCACAAAAAGATCAAACCAAACAAAATAATAGAATGGAACAAATCCAGTAGACCCACACCTGATGATTTATAAAAAATATCTGAAACCAATATTTCACAAGAAATGTCTTTGTGTCCATTTTCACTGCAGCACTATTCAAGAAAGAGGAAGGAAGAAGGAAGGAGAGAGGGAGGGAGGGAGAGAGTGAGGGAAGAAAGGAGGGAGGAAGAAAGGGAGGAAGGAAGGAAGGGAGGGAGGAAGAGGAAGGGAGAAAGAGGTAGGGAGGGAGAGAGGGAGTTATGGAATCAACCTAAGTGTCCATTAATAGCTAAATCTATTTAAAAAATTAATATACATAAATACACAGACATATTCTACCTTAAAAGAAAAAAGTAACAAGAACTAGGTAGGTGATGGCACATATGTCCAACTGTAAGGCCTTGAATCCCAATCCCTAGAGCCCATGCAAAACCAGATACAGCAACACACACAATCCTCAAGCAAGTTTGGAGGCAGATAGAGGGGAAAACCTGGGAGCTCCAGAACCAGCTGTTCAAGTATAAGCAGCAGCAAAAAAGAGACCCTGTCTCAAACAGGCAGAAGGCGAAGACCAACACTCATAAAACCTGCCTGTAGGCATGTCTGCGAGGTGGGTTCTCTGTCAATGACTGACATGGGAGTGTTCCTAGGTTGTATAAGAAAGCAAGCCAGTAAACAGCAGCTCTACACTTTAGCTCCTGCCTTGCTTTGCTCTACAAGTACAAGACAAAACAAAGCTTTTCCTCCCCAAGTTGGTAACTGTTTTATCATTGCAACAGAAAAAAAAAAAAAAAAAAAAAAAACAACAACAAGCTGGACACCATTTCACAACATACATGGAATTTTCTAAAACCACAGAACTGAAAGAGTATAGAAAAGAGTATAGAAGCATAGTTATGAGGAAATAATAACAAAAGGTACCAAGGCCTCAGTCAAAGGACTATCTGATGAATATAGCAACAGTTGAACAGTATGTGTTTCAACTTCACTTAAGGCTAGATATTCAAAGTACCCACAACAGATGCCAACGTTGTGATGGATTGACTGGCTTGATCATCTCATGTTGCAAGAAAAATTGTAACCACACTCTTGTATACCACCCACAAGTATCACTTGTCAACTTCAAACTTAAAAATGAGTGGAATAATGGAGACATATACATGAAATTCAGTTGGTACCAACAATTTTACTGATTTTGATGATTAAATAATACTTTTCACGTACTATAAAAAAATCTGCTGGGGGCTAGAAACATGGCTTGGTAGACTATCGTCTGGGTCCTAACACCCACATAGTAGCTCACAACCAACTATAACACCCTCTTTAGACCTCCAAGAACATGAGTTTGATCCCAGCAATACATTTTTTTAATGAAATAAAATAAAATGTCTATAAGGAGTTATTAATTACTATTCAATAAAGTGACATTCAAGAGATTAAAAAACTTGCATGCTACAGCTTTTAAGTGTGGAATCTGACATCAACTCATAATGTTCATATGTACATAATATACATAATCATACAAAGTATTTGGCAAATAAAACACTTAACAATAGAATACTTGGACTGCAGAGGTCCTGAGTTCAATTCCCAGCAACCACACAGTGGCTCACAACCATCTATAATGGTGCCCTCTTCTGATGTTCAGGTGTACATGCAGGCAGAACACTGTATACATAATAAATAAATGGATGGATGGATGGATGGATGGATGGCTAGAAAAATAAATAAATCTTTTCTAAAAAAGCAATAAACTACTTACATACCAAACCAAAATTTAAGTTTTTTTGTATATGTGTGGTATATGTACAAGTACGTATATGTACATGTGGAGGCCAGAGATCAAGTGTCTACCTCAATCAATCCCCCTTTTTTATAAAGATGTATTTGTTCATTCTATTTTATGTAAGTTCACAAAGGCCAAAAAAGGGCATTGGATCCCCTGAAACTGGAGTCAGAGGCAAATGTAAGCTGCCCAACCCAGGTGCTGAGAGTCAAATTCAGATCCTCTGCAAGAGAGATAAACAGTCTTAACCAAACCATCTCTCCAGCCCAACATTTGATTTTTAACTTGTAGTCCAATATACACTCATTTTTATCAATAATAAACATGTTGAAGATTTGTAAAAGAACTCTAAAACTTACGGTGCAATAATGGCTCTAGCAGGTCTTTTCGTAGACTGTACTTGTGAAAGCCAACCTTCTAGCTGGGCGTTCAGCTGAGGTCCTTCAAAAAGACAAGTAGAAAAAAAAAAAAAAAGAGTCAGCAAAGCAATGTATTACACATAACCATAATTATTACAAAATCTTCACTGAACCTCCATAGTATTAAAATAACTTATTGGGAAAAAAAAAATCAGTCTGGATGTTTAAAGTTTCAATTTATCAAGCTGCCAGGCCATATGATAGGGCTGAATACTGATGAAATAAAATTTGTTGTTATCCAATTACTTCTTAGAAGTGTCTTCATACAGATTTACATTTGAGGTAACATTTAAAACAAAATAACAAGAAGCAGAATACTCTAAATGAAAAAGGTATAATTAAGTGAGCTGCTTTTTTCACAGAACAAATGCTGAGTTTATTTGATCACTGAAATGGTGTAGTTAAAAACTCACACAATCTACCCAGCAGTGTTACAAAGCAGATGCTGAAACTCAACTAAACTTTAGGCAGAGTGCAACAAATCTTAGGAAAGAAGGAAGATAGTAAGACCTGGAGAGGACAGGGGCTCCATGGGGAAAGCAACAGAACCAAAAAATCTGGACACGGGTCTTTTCTGAGACTGATACTCTAATCAAGGACCATGCATGGAGATAACCTAGAACCCCTGCTCAGATGTAGCCCAGGGTAGCTTAGTATCCAAGTAAGAGGAACAGGGACTGTCTCTGACATGAACTCAGTAGCCTCCTCTACTGAGGGAGGAGCAGCCTTGCCAGGCCACAGACGAGGACAATGCAACCAGTCCTGATAAGACCTGATAAGCTAGGGTCAGATGGAAAGGGAGGAGGGCCTCTCCTATCAGTAGACTTGGAGAGGGGAATGGGAGGAGATGAGAGAGGAAGGGTGGCATAGAGAGGAAATTAGGGAAGGGGCTACAGCTGGAAAAAAAAATGAATAAACTGTAATTAATATTAAAAAAATAAAAATTTAATTAAAAAAACTCCCACAATCAATGATCCACACCTATCCATTCAACCACTTTCCTCCACTACCAAATTAGTAATAACTCCATTACTCCCCAAAAAGTTCAATTTACACCAACTTACTCTCTGTTTCCTATCTTTCTGGTTTACTAGTCTAAGAATCTACTGACTTTAATAGACCTCCTTCCACACCCTTCGTCTTTGTTCACTACGGCGAGAACAACCCATCACTGTAATCATCCCCTTTATATGGACTCATTGTTCTTTTTTCTCTCTCATTGCAACAGTAAAAATATAGTTTAAAGTCAACTTTCCACTTAACACAATATCTCTATCTGAACAACTGAAGAAGCTGAAGAGAGAAGTGCTTGCTACACAAATATAAGGACCTGAGCAGGAATTACCCAGAACTCACTTAAGAAAGCAGCAGTGGGACTTGTCTGCTACCCCAAGAGCTCCCACTGCAAGCTGACAGGGAGAGATGGGAGAAAACCTAGAAGTTCACAGGCCAGCTACTGTGGTGTTCCCAGTAGCAAACAACAACACAAAAGACCCTGCCTCAAACAAGGCACAAGGTAAGGGCTCACCCATGGTTTGGTCTGACCTTCACCCACACACTGTATCATAAGCACACCCACATAATAAATAAATTAAATATTAATACTGATGTGTGGTTACACTTAAACTTTTAAACTACAGCCAGAAATTTCAGCCGTTCCAAAAATTTCAGATCCCTACCCAAGTTGAGAAATTAACATTAAGGAATTTTGGTGTCAAATTTAAATCAAGAATTGAACCAGACTTTCCTCTTTCACTGTAAACCTCAAAACCTCATTCTTTTCTCATTCCCTTCGGGAAATAGCTATACTTTTCACTTATTCAGACAATAATCAGTTAGGAAGCAGCCAATCTTCTATTTGCCCAGGACTTCATATAAACTATCCTTTATATGTCTCTATGGAAAAATATGTTTTGCCACATACAGCTCATCCTTGTGACTATATACAGTTTGAACTAATGAGAACTTTACTCAGGTGATTTTTCTTAACCCTCAGAGTATAAAATTGGCTGATATTCTGAATAAAATTGACTATTGCATGAGACTTTTAGTCTGCCCGCATTTATCAGCTCAGTTCTCCCGGGTCCCACCACCTCTAGAGTGCTGACAGAAGACCAGTTATAAACAATGATGTTCTAAAATGAAGACTTTGGGAAAGATGAAGACTGGAGAGATGGCTCAGCAGTCAAGAGAACTGGCTGCTTTTCCATAGATCTGGATTTGGTTCCCAATACCCCCATACAGAAGCTAAGAACTGTAATATCAGTCCCAAAGGATCTAACACCTCTTCTAATTTCCATGGCAAACTGCACTCATGTGGTATACAAGCACACATAGGCAAAACAGCCATACACATAAATTAAAAAGTAAATTTAAAAAAATAAAATAAAGATTGACTTTAGACAAAATAAATTATAGAACATAATACTAGACAATGCTCAGGGAGTAAACAGTAAGAATCTTTGGGGCAGGAAAAGATTAGAGAATGAGCCACAAATTTGAGCATCATTTCAGGTGGTCAGAATGGTGGAGCAGCGGAAAGACAAGTGATGGCAGCAAAACGTTACAATAGATCAAGAAGCTGCATTGTAGCATGTGCCTGCAATCCTATCACAAAGAAGGCTAAGGCAGAATAATTATGGATTCAAGGTCAGCTTAGAGTCATTGCTTCAAAAAGGAGGAATGGGAAGGGAAGGAAAAGAGGAAGTGGAGGAAGGAGGGAAATCAAAGTATATAATAAGATCAGACACTTGGGCACAGAACCAAGATGTGCCAATAAGGGAGGGAAAATGATGTAGAAGCCTTGGGAGAAGAAAGTAGGTCCAGAAATCCTCCTTTAAAGCCTTTTAAAATTAGCATATAAAAGAAAAAAAAAAAAAAAACAAGTGGGCAAAAAGACAAGCTGGTAACCAGCGTCAGACAGAACTACCCAATGGTACAAATGAAAGACACTCCAGTATGTCCAAGGGTGACCTTGACACATGCCTGAGTAGAGAGTTACTATGCTAGAGAGATATGCATGAAGTTATGTACAGAACCACGGGTAAAGGAAAAGCCTGCACTACACTAATGAGCCAAAAAGCCTTGGAAAAGCTAACAGAAAAACCAATTCTTTGTACACTGCACCCTTTGAGCTGCTGAAATCTATCCTTGGTTTGGCACACTCCCTCCCACATAGTAGTGTGATATATCATGATTTACTGTTTCTGTTTCAGCTACAAATGTGTGGCTGTGCTCACCTTGTTCAGGAAAAAAAGGACCTGGAACTCCTTTAGAAATGTGTATATGGATTATCAGGTGGTATTAAAAGATTTTTTTAAAAAGCAGCCATTCAAGAGATAAAGGAAAACACAGTACAAGGAAGACAAAAAAATAGGAGATCTTCAAAACATGAACAGTAGCCAGGTGTGGTAGCACACACCTTTGATCCCAGCAGCACTCAAGAGGCAGAGGCAGGTGGATCTCTTTCAGTCTGAGGCCAGTCTGGTCAACAAAATGGGTTCCAGAATAGCCAGGGTTATTACAGAGAAACCATGACTCAGAAAAACAAAAACAAATATGTTGGTGTAATGTTCTTTTGGAATATATACACCTTACCCTTGTTCATTCAAATGCTGATTTCTCCCCCGACTGTCTGGTTTCAATCCGGATATTGCATTGTGATACTTATTCTAAACATCCTGTCTCAACTTTGTGTAAACAGGCCAAAATAAAGCAACTAGCCACAATGTTGAGCAAGGAGAGGGGAGGAGCCAGAGGACAGGAAATGAGTGGGAGGAGAAAGGGAGAAAGAGAGAGAGAGCTAGGATAGCAGAGCTGGAGGACAGATCTTGGAACGATGCAGAGATGGACTGGACATAATATATCACTAAAAGCAAGTATAATGTGGGAAATCTGAATGTTAGGAAACAATGAGGGCTTGGAGGTTTAAGAGGGAGTAACTATTGCCCAGCATTGTGTTCTAGGTTAACTAAATAAACCCTGTCTCTGTGTGGTGATTTGGGTATACAGCTGTTTAGGACTAACAGCAACTTTACTAAAAGATAATCATTAGTAAATTTTAACAGCTATTAACAACACAAATACAACCCCCTCCCCCCCAAAAAAAAAATCAGGAGGCTGGAGAAATGTCTCAGCAGTTAACAGTAATGACTGCTCTTTCAAAGGATCCAAGTTCAATTCCCAGCATCCATACGGCAGCTCACAACTGGCTGAAACTTCAGTTCCAGGGTATCTGACTCCCTTACATAGATATACATCCAGGCAAAACAACAATGCACATAAAATAAAAATAAATTAATCATTAAAAAAAAAAATCCAAAACTCTGTAATGAACATCATAGCCAAGACAGAAATATCACTCAGTCGATTTTGTGGTCATGGAAAATCGGTTAACTATGCAGTGACTACCTTTGGGGATTAAAAGCTCTGTGTGCAAGTATTTGCAGACAAATGAGTTGACAGAAAATAGAAAAAAAAGCAAATGAAAACCACTACAACAAGGAACTGAAAGAAGTTTTCAACATTTCTTATGAGGTCTAATTCGATGACTGTAACACTTCAGATAGGATAGATTAACCTTGGGCATTAGCAATAACATTTTCATACCTCACAGTGCAGAAAGCTATCTGTTAATATGCAAAAAAAAATTCAGAGATTTAATGCTTCTAAAACTGTATTATGTAGATAGCAAATAACCTAAATCTGAAACTGCTTTTTTTTTTTTTTTTTTTTTTGTTACAACATGATTACCTTCGATGTAGAGAAAAAGTTGAGTACTTTTCTGGTTACAAAGTTAAATATAGGGCTAGAGAGACAGTTCAACTGTTAAGAGCACTGTTGCTCTTGCAGAGGACAGGGCTTTGGTGACTAGAACCTACTTCATGGTGGCTCACAACCATCTCTAACTCCAGTTTCCAGGGCATCTGATGCCCTCTTCTAATCTAATCTGTGCAGGCACCAGTCACACACTTGATCCACATACATACTTATATGGAGGCAAAACATATCAAATAAAAATGA